TCCTGCCCAACAAAAAAAACGGGGGGGGGGGGGGGGTATCCTAGACGTGCCAGTGAGGAAAACAATATTCCATAAATTAGCAGAAGGTTTTTCCCCTGCTGCTCGGACTTATTTGTTAAAGGTTTAAATGCTGGAGTATTTGGCAGATTGGTCCTGTAAATTTTTCATGTGCCGGCAATAAAGCTTGCTGAGTTTGCACTACGCTCAGGGGGTAAAATAAGGTAAGCTAATCCTGAGCTGAGACAAATGCACACAAGGTAATTCTGTTTGTCAACAAACAGGTTTACATCTTGTGATGAGGAAATGGAAGGATATCATAAATCTTTAAGAGAGAAAGACTATCTTGCAACTTCATTGCTAAACCGGTGTATTTCCATAATAAAATGGTACGAAATGTATTCTAGTTAGAACACTCACTTTGGACAGTTTGGTTCATGCATGCAAAAGAATATAGAGATAGAGTATAGCCCTGCAATAGAAAAAAACCCCACCCTACGCCTGAACCCTCTGTGCAGTCTGCGGTGAAATCTGAAACTTTGCAAATTAACTCAAGTTGCGAAACAGTGTAACAAAACTGAGATGTCTAATCGAAATGCAATGGTGTGGCTAAGAGCTGGAAATGCTATATCTATGAAACCATTGAAAATGTCTGACATGGAATCAATATGCAAAAGTTTGCCTTCTCAGAACTCTAGTAAATTTGTGACTATTCTGCAAACATAGTCTGAAATATTCTCATTTTACTGGTGGAGATTACAGGGCAGTTCTGCTAAGAACATTGGAAGGGGATGTTACGGAATCAATGCTAATTGATGAATGTCCAATGCTGAGCCGTGATAATGATAAAACAACAGGCTCAGGCACGGCTGCAACTCCCCATGAATTTTTTCTGGGAAAATCCTGAAAAGCATGATAACTTTTTTAAAGAACTGAGAACTTTTTTAGATAAGCATCTAGATAACAGACAAGACCTATCATTCGCTGCCTACACCAAGCAGAAACATAAGGAATCTGCTTCAGACTTTTATATTCGGTTTAAGAAGGCATGGGTTGAAGAGTCTATACTCCCAATAAATAATGAGATGAAGGCATTGTTCAGAAATACCTTCTTGGATCATATGCAATGGAAACAAGCACAACTGATCAGAATTACAACTGCCAATCTATTCGATATGGATATAGACGCAACAGGGAAGCGAGTTAGGGAGCTAGACTCATCTGGAGGTTTCACGGTTAAAACTGAGACTGCTATGTTTACAGGGCAAAAAACATCAGGAGAAAATATATGACCAGAAAGCAGAAGTGAAACCACACTTGACTCGGCAAAGAAGCCCAAGAATAGTTCGTTACTACTGCTGACGGGAGGGTCATGTACACCGTGATTGTAGGGCATGGAAAGGTCAGCTGCAGAGGAAGCCTTGGGTGAAGCCACACGGGTGTACTCCACTACATGGCACAATAACCAAGAATAGGGATGCCTACAGAGTAATGTCAGTTCCGATTTATCTATGATGACCCTCACATTCTCAAACCATAATGAAGACTTGCCTTAAGTTGCACTACTGGTGCATGGTCAACCACAGACGGTCCTTTTGGATTCTGGAGCGGATGTGACATCAACGACCTCCACACAGTATGAGGGTCCTCTTTCTAATCAAATAGTTAACTCTGTGAGAATATCAGGAACT